GAACGCTGCAACTTTTCTCTGCCCTTCACTATCACAGGTGTCAATATTGCTGGGCCTTTTCAAATAAAGGCATCCATGCTAAGGTCTATCACACTAATGAAAGGCTACGTGGCTGTCTTTGTCTGTTTTACGACAAAAGCAGTACACTTCGAGCTATGTACTAATCTGACAAAAGAGACTGACAAAAGAGCATTGGCTCGCTTTGTCGGACGACGTGGTTTTCCGTCAAATGTCATGAGCGACAATGGCAAGACATTTATAGGAGCTCAAAGAGCCACTGAAAAACAGTTTGTGGACTTTATAAAGCAAGTTTCACCTGAGATTGCACAAAAGTACGCTCTCCAAGGCATTAACTGGCCGTTCATCCCTCCAAGCGCTCCTCATATGGGTGGTTTATGGGAATCCGCGGTAGAAATCTTTAAATCCCACTTTAAAAAAGTAGGTGGAAACTAAAAATTTAATTTTGAAGAATTTACAACGTTATTAATTCGTATTGAAGCCGTTCTCAATTCACGGCCATTGACGACACTCTCGCAAGATCCGTCAGATTTAACAGCTCTTACACCAGGCCACTTTCTCAAAGGAGCACCCATTCTGGCCATAACTGGGCCAGGCGTGGAGTCGCTTTCCTTACTAAATAGATGGGAAAKAATTATAATTCTCCATCATGATTTCAGTTGCCGATAGAAGGAGGAGTATATAAAGAACCTTCACAAAATGTACCACTGGAAAACTCCCGAAAAGGCGCCAAAGCTTGGAGATTTTGTCCTAATACATGACGACTGTCTCCCCCCTACAGAACGGTGGCTTGGTCGCAGAGAGAAGCTACATCACGGCTCTGACGGTCACATACAAGTAGTTGACCTCCGTACTCAAAGCGGAACTCTAACGAGACCGCTCGTTAAACTCTGCTCTTACCAACCGCAGATAATAATAAAAATGCACATCATAAATAATTCGTACAGTAATACTGACACGCAGAAATTGAAAAATCCGCCTGATAACTAAAACCGAAATCAATCGCACATATGATAAATCATAAAGATACTACAAAATAATGGGTAGATTACTAAACTTTGACAAGCCAAATAAAGTTGGTTACAAATAGCACAATTTCATAATATATAGAAATGAGTTGCAACTAAATACGACTTTTCCTGCATATAGGCAAACATGGATTCAGAAAACATGTAAACTCCAACGCCAGCACTGCGATCGGCCATCAGTGTGCCCCGTCCTGGGGTTGTCCCAACGCGGGGCACCGTACAATCACCGCAAAGCCCCGTCAACTTCACCTCGTAATGACACACGTGCACCCCCTTTGTCGCCGCCCCCACCGACTGCAACATTGTGGATTTTCAAGGGCATGTCACCCATCCAGCGGCAGCAGGTATCAGAGGCGCATGGGCATTGCCACAATTGTCTGGCACACACGCACGCGACTCAGGACTGTGACTCTGGGGCTTTGTGCCAAATGAGTGGCAGGCAGCATCACACGCTGCTCCACCGCACCCCAAGATGTGAGGTTGGTCGGCCTCCTGCCACTTGCAGACCGCAGCAACCCAGCCGTGTGACACGACGACGAAGACCGGCACAACCTCCTGACTCCCGTCTATGGCATCCGCGAAACGCAGCACCATCCAGGTGCCATCTTCAAAGGCCACACTACCGGCGCACGTCCGGACTTCGCAACGTTGTGACAACGCTGCAACAATTCCAGCGATTGCTAGGCTGAACATTCGCCTAAGGGGGCCGGGATTGCTAAATGAGTTAAGCTTCCCGCCCTCACACAACACACCACTCACAAAGCAACACTGGCACACTCACCACACTTGGAGACAACACTCATCGACTGGAAGCAGCAGTCTACACCCACACACACACCAATACACGTCGTACATCAACCCACCATAACTCTCCACAGCCCAACGAGCAAAAATCCTCGTCCTGGAAGAGGCGCCTTCTTTTTCGATCGCGTTCTACGAGCGACTAACATCAGCGGACATTCTTGCTATTTTCGGCGCCCAGCAGCTTTTCCCGTTYTTCGTCATTGCTTTTCGGCAGGCAAACCCAAATCGTCTTGCCTTATCAGTTGTTCATCCAATCATCTTAGCTTCGATCTTTCTACATACATACTTTGTACAACCTCCACTGGTATCCGACCAAGGAGGCCATCAATATACATTTACTGTCTTCTTCTGTACATTTACTGTCACTCCACTGGTATCCGACCAGGGAGATTTTTCTTTTAACCTTGTATTTGAAACACTGTGTAAAGCTTATGCATATAAATACCTTAAAGAATTAAAAGGCAATTTTTTGGCCATAACACAAAAAAAAAAAAAAATTCATTCCGCAGTGGGTGCTAAGGTGTAAGTGCTAAATTAATTATCTACATTAATAATTATCTTACCACCTGAATACTTATTACATTCATTTAAGTATTTAATACGCAAATAAATATATCGACTTACAACTATTGTTAAAATCACATACTCCGAAAATAGTTTCTGTCCAAGAAACACTCATACAAACGACCACACCTATACCTAACAAGTATCATGTATATACCTCCGGCTCCACACGAAACGCGTTCGATGGCTCCGCATTACTTACCCACAACTCTTTGCATCATAAACATATCATCTCTACAGTTAATAACTTTGACGTTACGAACGTTATCATAAATTTAAGATTAAATTCATAATCAGCTCCAAGTACATTCCACCCAATACACCACTTACTTATAATAACTTAGAAAACATAGTTCCACAATCCAGATTACCTGTACTAATTACGGGTGACCTCAATGACCTAGCAAGCCATTTTAGCAACAATAGACCGGTTAGAACAAATATCAATAAAGAAACTGCAAACATCCACAGGATCTTACTTCAAGCCGCCAATTAATCCATATCCTAAACATCAAGCAAAAGAAAATATGCAGTCCCATGGTGGAATAACACACTACAAGAACTAAAAATATTAAAAAATCACCATTGCAATACATTAAAAAGAAACATCTCGAACGACAATATAATTCATTATAAGAAGGCTCAAGCAAAATTCAGGCGAAAAATAAAGATAGCAAAAGCAGAGTCTATTAGTCAATTCACCTCAAATATTAATCCGCACGCACAACCATGTAAGGTATGGGCAACCATTCGCACCTTCTACGGACTTAAACCCAGATCGTCAATTCGGAAATTGCGAATATATTTGGACAATTTTGGTCGAAAGAAGCACAAAACCGTAACTTCTCGTCAAGATTTCAGCAATGTAAACAAGACACTCTCAAAGGAACATACACCCTAATACCTAGCAAATCTGCTTCCTTTATTGAAGAAAATATCAGCTATTTGGAGTTAGACATTGCACTAAATAGACTCAAAGGCAAAACACCCGGTCTTGACTGTATATCTTACCAAATGTTACAACACCTACCAAAAACCGTAAAACAATCAATACTTACCGCAGAAATACAAAAATAGTACGGTAATTACCATACTAAAACCAGATCTCGATAAAACCTTAATTAAATCGTACCGACATATTTCTCTCAATCCATGCTGCTCAAAAGTACTAGACAAGATCATTGCCAATAGATTATGGTGGTTTGTCGCAATAGACAAACTCATACATAGTCATCAGATGGGGTTCAGGAAGGGAAAATCAGAGCCTGATTTCCTACTATATCTAGACTATCAGATCACTCAATCCCTATCGGCCAAAAAACACCTATCAATCGTCTCTCTAGACTTCTCCAAAGCCTTCGACAAAGTGGGATTACACTCCATTTTGGACCCTGGAATATCGGCTCAAAAATTTTCCGACACATAAAGAATTATCTGACCAACAGAACTATCAAAATAAAAATAAATTCACATTATTCTCAACAATATCCCCTACACAATGGTATCCCACAGGGATCACCATTTTCCGTTAAACTCTTCCTCATTGCTCACAATAAGCTTAGTAATATCATTTTCCTTCACAAGGAATTAAACTTCATGGCATACGCTGACGACTTCATTATTATAAAAAAAAATGAACAGATCAAAAAACACTCCGATAGATCTCAGCAACCTACATAACGACATTACCAACTGGTCGCAATGTAGGAAGCACAACTGCCAGGTTAACACCCTCTGCAACAACATCAAGATAAGCTCTGTTAACAACCTAAAATACTCGGAATATTTAATAATAGATACAAATGGAATAGTCACATCGACTACCTAGTATCTGCACTTAAAAAACGACTTGACATCAGAAAATGCCTCGCAAGTACTAAATGCAATTGCACACAGTGTCATTACTATTAGCAGTAAAAGCGTTGGTGAAATCAAAAATCAACTACGGCCTATACGCTTACGCGCCAAAATCGACTACCAGAAAGCTAAATTCAACCATTAATTCTAGCATACGCACAGACCTTGGCGCTTTCAAAACAACCCCAATCATATCCCTCAACTCCGAGGCCAATATCCTACCGTTGAACACCAATAGAGTTTTCAGTACGGATACACTAATAAAATAGGTCATAATCAACGATTACTCCCCTCTTCCCATGCTCCTATCTAAAAATCCTCAAAAAGATAATAATAAAACTCCATCCTGAATAAATAGGATAACAAACTTAGCAAAACATTTCTACATCCCATTAAATCTTAAACCTAACTAAAACTCCTAAACTCCGCACTGGAAACTGGACCACTCAACAATAAACACAAATCTAGCCCATTTAAAAAAAAAAATTTTACTCCTCCACTAGTATTTAGAAAGAAATTTTACGCAACTATCGAAAAACTCTGTAATTTCAAATTTCTATACACGGAGGGTTCCAAAATCAACACCAAAGTTAGCTACAGCATAATTCAAAACAAAAAAATTATAAAAATCGTCTGAATCGAAAGTAGGTATTCTTAGTTACGATTGGATTGAAAGAAGAAGAGGAAGAGCTGTAGCTCTTTCGAAGTCAGCTGTTTGCCTTGAAACGTGTGAAAATGAAACATAACAAAGCAAAAATACACAAATTATTGTTGGTTTATTAAAATAAAGAAATTATATCGCGTTTTTTTTTTAACACTAACATGGAATCAGTAGCGGCAGCGATATTACTTGAGGAGGAGAGCAATGCATCCGATAATGCCGTRGCCAGAATTGAAAGGAGAAGATTGCTAGATATGTGCAATCCTTTTGAGATGAGTGCCGAATTGTAAGAAATTGAGTTGAAAGTGATAAATTGTATTTTTTTTAAATAATTTATTTACTTATTTAGGTTCAAAAAAAAAACTTTAGACTCAACAAGGGTGCTTTCAAGTATGTCCTAGATAGTTTCGCGAAAGAAATTCCAGCAAGTACTTTGACGTCTTTATCTCCGCTTAATCGAATAGTTTCTGCTTAGAGATTTTTTGAGAAAGGCAGTTACMAACATGGAGTTGGTACTGATTACAAGGTAGCAATGGGTCGTGAGTGGATAAAATTTGAGCAGACCGGCGAGGAAAAAAAACAAGTAAAACAGGAGTTTTATGCGAGGGCAAGCTTCCCAGGAGTCATATAAAAACGCATATAAAAATAATCAAACCGTCTGAAGAGRGTTTTCTATACTACAATAGAAAAGGATTTTACAGCATCAATGCTATGGTGGTGAGGATTATATTTTCTTACATCAGTGCCACAATTGAAAATTTTAATTTTATCAATTTATTTTTAGGTATGCGATAACAGATGACGCGCATTGATGCGCGGTATCCAGGATGCAATCACGACTCGCATGTATGGGGATTGAGCAAGTTGAACTTTCAGATGGAACGGCGATATCGAGAAGGTGAAAGAAATACATGGCTGTTAGGTATTTAAATACATACAAGAGTAATTACAATATGAGACACTCCAAAAAGAGAAATATTATAGAGCGGACAATTGTGGTCTTGAAGAATCGTTTTCGATGCTTGTTGGGTGCTCGAGAACTACACCTGTCTCTTATACACATCTAGATGTGTATAAGAGACAGATATGAGACACTCCAAAAAGAGAAATATTATAGAGCGGACAATTGTGGTCTTGAAGAATCGTTTTCGATGCTTGTTGGGTGCTCGAGAACTACACTACTCACCGGAGCATGTCAAATTTTAAACGTTGCTTGTGCCCTCCATAATTTGCATCTACTACAGTGATTCCCAAACGCACACTACCAAACTGTGTGCTTGTGTTGGAGAATGAGAGAGCTTGTTGCTACACCCAAGAAAAATACAAAACTTTAGTATTAATTAATATAAAAAAAGTTTGAAAGTAATTCGACAACTTTTACAAAATTGTGAAATTAATGAAATTCCTTATTAATTTTTTATCAATTACAAAAATAAAGACAATTCACGTGTCAAAAAGAAATTAAAATTCCAAAAATTTTAAATATTGAATTTATGTTGAATTTTTTACCTAAACGGCTGTRTCTAAAAACKAAAAATCAATATTTTCATGGTTTTGAACCAACTTMTCTAAATTAATTTCGGAAAACAAAAGCTTGTTTTCCCACTCAATATTAAACATAGTAAAAGTGTTAATGAGCGCGCACATACAAATWACATGCGTAATGCACATTAATTTTCCACAATGTATAGAGAGCGCTTGACTAAACGTGTGAGCGAATCTGTGAGAGAGCAATAAAGTCGGCCGCCCGCGGGCTAGGTAAAGCGCTTCATTGATCTACTACAAAGKGGATGATTTGAGCGCAAATGAATTCGATTTTGAAAACCGTGAGGAAGAATAAGAAGAACAAAGCAATGRTCCCAATTATGCTTCCATAGCAAACCGTATTAGAGACAACATACTCGTACTTTCTTTTTTTT